TACAGAATGTAACGACGTGCATCGATACGATCGCGTGATCGGTATAAAAGTTCAAACACAAATCCGTTTCGCGCAGTTCACAACGACACTACGTGTGTACTGTGTACGATGGCGTAATTGAAAGGATAAGATGGAGACAATCATTCCCCTCATAGATTTATGTTTGTGTAGGTATTTGCTGCGTATTCAATAAGATTAAGTTACAATGGAACAAGGAATTTATGGCTTGATAAGATTACTAACCTACTGTTGATTGTTATTTTAAATAAATATTATTTTTGAATACCTATTTTATACCGCACAGCTATTTTTATATTAACAGGAAAATTTAAAAAATTATAATAGTTATGTAAATTAAAAAATAAAATACCGTTTCCACGATAAATTCTCGACGTACATAATTTTGAAAAACCTCGGACAGGATAGTGTAATTTTACTATATTCTATTTGAATGTAATGATTGCATTCGATATAAAACGATCCTGAGCGGACGAAGGAATCTTTTTTATTTAATTTTGTATAATTAATATTTTTCTATCTATTGTTTTTATACCACCTAGTATATATAGGTACATTTATTTTCTACATTAAAATCTAACTTTTTTTGTATAGATGAACTATCATTTCCATTTTCATGGACAAACCCCCATCACCCCTACAGACAAGAAAAAAAATCGAATTCCTGAATTTTAAACTGTAAGGAACAAAATCCAAAATACAACAAACAATATCCCTTGTCATTTTTCATTTGAAGCAATATTTCTGGTAGAAAACGTCGTCCGTAGTTATTTAATATTATAAAATCGTGAAACCGTACGTTTTTTCTCGTTTAACCGCTTTTATTTCGAGTACCGTTTCGAAAATCGAAAAACGATATATCTAAAGTACCAGTTCAAAAATATTACCTTTCAGAAAAGATGCTACGCTTGATACTTTTGAGCAAGTTTGGAGGGAGAAAAAGTGTTTACAGAATAAAGAAGAAAAATAAATAAACATCATTGTAAAACCAATACATTCCTCGCTCCGCTCAGAATCTAAAAGTACCTACCAATATCAAGTGCAATAAACGTTGTGTTAACTCTTGAATAAATACTGCCCCCCCCTCCTCCCATCCTTCTCGAGCGGAATCTTATTCGCCCCCCCTCCCTCCCTCGGCCCCGTACATTTAAGTCGGATACGCCACTGACTGCGCACTCGGACGACCGTGAAAATCGTATTTACGCGTACGTACGTAGTGGACGACGACGCCATTGCGATATGACTGTCGAAAATCATCGCGATCTTCGAGTGCATGCGCGTTTAACAACCGGACAATGACTTAACGACCGCATGCGCGTATTATCTACGGTCGACGTGCCGACGTCGCGTAACGCGAAAAAAACACGATATCGTTGCAAATGAAATACGCAATGCACGCGTATCGTACCGCGCGTGCACAGGGTTCGGCCGGTCCGTTTGGGCGTTTTGTACGCGATTTTATTTACCGCCCGCGCGTGTACGTCGAGTGGGCAGTGCACACGTCCACTACGAACGCGAAACGGTCGAAAACCTCTATTGGAAGCACACCTCGTGGGCCAAGCGCTCCGGCATCGGTAGACGAATGCCGTCGAAAAACCCATAACACACGTGTACGTTAGATTTTCTTCTCGTTTCATTTTCGTAATTATCGCCGACTCGAACACTGCGCACGATTGTTACGCACCGAACAATGTACTTTTTTTGACAAACGCGTGCGCGTGGCTTCGTACATCGTACTCGAATATTGTATTCTACATGGCGTGCACGTACGACGCGCGTTTCTATTCGGTTCGGAAACGGGGGGAAAAAAAAAATATATATATATAAAATCCTACCACGCAATCTCGCGCAGGTGTGTGATTTCCGTTAACGTACGACCGTGTGTGCGATTTTTACATTACAATAAGTAGTTATATAAATAAAAATAAAAATAGACTGTATAAATACTGTACAAAATATAACATTAATGATGTGTTCCGTTCATGCGCAGCCGTCTAAGTCTCTGCAGTCGTATTTCCCGAAGCCGCTATGGATCTCGGTGCGTCTTGTGCGTTATACACACTGTGTATTACACTTCGCAGTTGCAACAAGCACCTAATGAATGTCACTACTAGCGTGTCTGTATAATTATCTCTCGGAAATTATTATTCTCGCATAGCCTACCGATCAAGTTCATATTTCAATCGACATGTGCGAATAATTCACATCATACATGGCGAATAATCAAGTAAAAAATATCGCAAATCATCTTTTTTTTCTTTTTGTTTGCACTTGTTACCAAAAAAATTACGAAAAAATTAAAATTATAAAATAAAATAACCTAATTGGTATTCGTTTTGATTAAATGCCGTCTATAAAACGCACACCGCACAATACACTCCGTAAATTATAGTAATACCGCTATAGAACAAGAGTAATCACTTAAAATAATATCGATTTACAATATTTCTCGAGCTACGTTAAAGTTGTATGAAATTACATGTCAAAGATAGACCTCGAATAAACCAAAATAAAATATTGTATTTAGTCCCATTACAAATTATATAGCAGATAAATATTGTAATTGATAAGCCGGAAAATGGTCCCATGCCGTTCCGTATTGGGTAATTTTCTGCAATTAACATTAATCAAGTAAAAGTAACAATTTAAAATGTAATAGTATAGGTACACAGTATTCTTCGATTTGAATATAATTAATTATGTTAATAAAAACATGAGGATTTATAAACTACTTTTCAAATATAATAGGCTTATAACATTTAATAGTTATCATAGTATAAATTATTTAATGTATAAATATAGATATTCCTATAATAGGCATTAGACAATTACGGGCATACCTACTATATCAATGTACCTATAAAAAAAAAAAGAAAGAATTTCACTATAAGAAAGTATAAAGCCGAGAACGGTTTTAACGATTCAATATTTTTTTCGAAACATATCTATATCTATAGTTATAGTATATATTTAGTACTATAGATAGTCGATTAACTAGAATACATTACAATCACAGTGAAGTTATTTATTAAAATCTCAACTAGAACTTTAAAAATAGACAGTTATAAATACACTATACGTGTGTTTGACGAACGTATGTACAATTATGTTAAATATAATTTGTATGCACATGCGCGTATTATATATGTTAACATTAATTTAATGAAATTAAAGTAAAATAAATGATTTTGTTGCTCTACAAATTATGGTATACCGTTTAACACTATTCATTACGGATTAGGTTCGATTTGTTATAATACAGAATAAAGTCGAACTCTGTTTATTACTATTTACTGTAGGAATTTTCAATATTTATTAGAGTTCAAATAAAATAGGGTACATAATTACACATCACTATAAATTAACAGAAAATCGTTTTATATGCATTTTTATGCTTGTTGGCATAAATGTATTTGTTGCATCTACACATGGACTATATGAGAGTTTTCGTCGGTAATTCGACGTAATATATGTTTTTTATTTGAATCTGGAATCTGGCTATTCTTTGAAAAAATATCAAATGTATCGCATTGTAATTTAGAACACATCGGCTTTCTTAAATGATTTGCATGTAGTGTGGAAAATAACGTAAAATCTAAAAAAAACTGTATTTATGGTACTTCGTTTATAGCGTAATAAATATATATATATATATATATATATATATAGGTATATTTATTTCATCAATATGTAACAAAAACATCTTAAACAATAGTAAATCATAAAATATAGTCACGGACATCCGGCTGCAGTAGCTTATTTTATGAAACGGTATCCGTGCCAGCGCATAGATGGTACTTAATGATAGGGTTATATTTTTAATAAAAACAATAACTTATTAATAAATAGTTACTGTCATCGCGACAAAAATGATTTAGCATAATTTTATTCTTGTACAGTATTTTCTGGCAAAAATATTATTATTGTAACTTTTAAAAATACCACTTTCACAATTCACGAACCATATACCTAACTTATTATAAATCAATGGAAGTTTAGCAGTTTTTAATCTCCCGTCACGATGACGAAAACAAATATGCCCATGTATTATGTATATGCAGTAGACAAAAATGACTTATAATGTTTAAAACATCGAAAAAATTATTATTTATAACAGTATTCATTCCGATCCCACGGCTAAAGATATCATAAAATATACAATGGGAAGGATGGGCCAGACGCGCATTAAGCTCCCTCGACACTATAGTCTTATTTTCAATCTCCACATGAAAAGGGGGAAATAATTTTCGATAAAAAATATTATCACATGAGTATACTATTGCAGCAGGTGTAGGTAAGAATATTATAAAACAACAATTTTTCTCTCGTAGAAATACATGCATTTGAAACGTAAAACGGTAGTTGATGACTATTATATATTTTGTAGACGCCGACATCTGAAGTTTAAAAAATATAATTTCCTCTTTGATGTTTAAATTAAAGGACACGAATGGTATTTTCTGGGGAAAACATACAATGGACACATACATAAAGTATCATATCTCATAATGTACCGTATGATTAGATACGATAACTTTGGTGCCGTCGACCTACATCTATGCACAAAAGGCTATTATCCACGGTTAGATTGACTTCAGATGGACACAATGAATATAACAATCCTATGTGTAACTATCGTTATAAAGAGATTAATAATAACCGTGTCTCAAGATTTTTAAAATCACATAAATCCATAATATTCTCTACAGATACAATAAACCTACTGCATTGGCCTACAATATCCATGCGACATGAGTTAATTATTCGGATTTGCTTATTATCAATAACAATAAACTATGGGCTAAATGATTTGTAAAATATTTTGAACAGTTTAACGTTGAAGTGTTCAAAATTTACGAATTTATTTACTACACATTTATTACCACGTGCGTTGGACGCGTTTAAATGGGAAAGCAGAAAATTAAGAATGGATTTTGTATCGATTTTTTTAATAATAAAAACAATGTTCGTAAACGGTTTACCTGAACGTTTCTCGAGTGACTGTTTAATCCATCAAATCATCATATTCCTGCGGGAATAAATGAACACTATCATCGATCGTACACTTAACGAGGGTATTCCACAAAAAAAAAAAAAAAAATGAAAAACAACGGAAGAACAAACACTGGCGAATAGTAAAACGAAAAATGCAACACGAAATGCGTGCAGTTAATGGTTAGTAAAAACGATAATACCGGTATTGCGGACACCTTTGCTCGGAGCCGTCCAACCGACACGGGTTATTGTACCTAACTACCTAGAAAGAAGAAACCTGTTGGCCAAGACAAGCAGGTGCGCCCCTACCACCGAGCGCTGCGCGCGCGGGCAAAACGGACAAATTGTGGCGAGTGTTCCTGAATAGTGAAAATCGAGTCGATGATAATAATAATAATAATACACATCATTAGAAGACGACATCGGCGCGCGCGCGCGCGCGCTCGTCTTGTTTATTGTTTTATTTTTCAATAACGACAGCACGGCGTAATCGTCGCTCTGACCCGTACACGAAAAACGCAACGATATACGACAATTATTCGTGACTGTTAAATCCATGTGTATACGAATTCAACATTCGCAAACAATTGTACGTGTATAAATATTATTCACGGTGTATACCCGTAATACGATTTGCAAGTATATCCTTCACCGTGTTCGTATAATAATAATAATACGTCAATATTATGTATCACAAATCGTATATTGTATTCCAGTCTCGAGGTTGAACTACGACAATTTATTTCCAACGGTTTGTGTCCGCGATCGATAAAATATCGCGTATAGTGTTTCGAACAAATAAAAATAACAACTAAAACAACTAATACGTTGGTAGGTTGACCGTACGCCACTGTTTCGAGACCATTCCACTTCAATTTCGAACAATGTGTACGATTTCAATACAGGTACTGCTCGATTGTACGAAATTCCTGAATCGACATTTTTTTTTAAGTCAATATTCGGTCGCTACGTTGCGAAATATAATATTTCATTAAATGAGATAAATAAATAAGGCGAAGAATTACGCAATTCTTTTAATACTCTATTAGTTCTACGATAAATTCCCTCCGTACAATTCCAGCCTTGACCACGCTTTATTTCATTTATCTTTTTGATTTTTGACAGTGTTCATACCATAAATGCATCATATCCTTATTTTCCATAATAATTAAATATTTACCTTTTTATTCGTTTTACCTTTTAGAATTTCTTTTATGTTTTGATTAACATAGACATCGAAATAATGAACAAGATCAAATGTAATATTATGACATCCATAAAATATTCTTACACTTATTATAACATTTCACCATATATTTCAAATTAAAAATGATTCAAAATGATTCCTTTAAAAGATTCATCATAAAATGTTGAACTTAATTTAAAAAAAAAAAAAAAAAAAATAGCATCAATATGATACGCAAATTAACCAACCACGTATCTAAATTTTGTATATTTCTCATGATTACGAAATAATATTATAATAAACGCATATATTTATTAAACCTTCATTTTTAGGTAGCATTATGCAATTGCAATTAGTTCAATATTTAAAATTCTATAATTGTTAAAAATAAAAAAAAATGTAATGTATTACATTTAGTATAAATATATCATAGTGTTGATATAAAGTTGAATTTTTAAAAACTTTTAAAAATTGAATTATGACTCATCAAAATATAATCCCACATATATTTATATTAATATTCTCGGCATGTTTTATACATGTAAAAATCATTATGTGCAAGTTGAACGCAAGATGAAGCGCAAAAAATTCTATTGGTTTAACTAGTAGAATTACTAATAGTTTTATTTTTCACAATACACTTATATCAATTGGATAAAAAAAAATTGAAATACATTTTCACTGTTTCCTTGTAACATAAAAATAATCCATAATTTGTAAGAACATTGTCCGATATCATATAATTTCCATGCATTTGTCTTTATATTTTTGCCGTTATTATAAAAGTTATAACTCTCGACTATATTATAATCATATCTAATGCTATAACAATTATTTTTAAATTCAATATAAACCGCTAAGCCACAAGCAGAATAATTTTACATAGAAAATATTTCGATATAAGCGTTATGAAAATGTATAGTAATTAAACGTCTAAAAGTAATGAAAAAAGATAAATAAATGTATTTCAGTTCATAAACTAAAAATTTTATTAGTAAGTAAACTATATAAGTTAAAAAAATAAAGAAATGAAATTTAATGTTTTAAGAATTATACCTAGAAATATTATATAGTGAAATAAATTATTGTTAAACTTATTACATTTTACGAGTAATAACTATTAAATAATATGTGCAATATCCAAATGGTAATTTAATCTAATTGTTCTACTTCTACATAAATGTGAAATATTAATTCTCTATACTGTTTTCATTTTTCCAAATCTTTCGTTTTATTGTAGAGCTTAAATAATATTATACGTAATATGGTGATGCAATGGAATGGAAGTTTCGTCGTATTTATTAAGTAATCTTAATAATAATAGTTTCAACTAAGAAAATTGTATTCAAATGATAATTAATAAAAATAACAATGAGTTAAAGCTGTATTTTAATCACTTTTTTGTCTAAAGCTATAGTTAATAACGCATTATACTGTTCATAAAAAACAAAATTAAAAAATTAAAAACTAATTTAGAAAAATATCATTATAAGAAATCGTGAAGAAACGAAAAGGCATGACCGATCCTTATATTATTATCATTTTAGAAATCGAATTACAAATTTTATCAGATATATTAAACACAATTATTAGCATTCATAAGTTTTTATCAGACTTACCATCCATGGGTTCATATAGAATAACTCATCATTACGCATTTCCTACTTTCTTCGAATTGATTTTATACGTATTCCTGTATGCCAGAGAGATTACTCATACATACTATACTATTTAATGAATGTGTGGTTGAACATTGCGTGTCATACATTCCATCAGGATTTGAACTGTCCTTAGATTCCTAATAATACATTTGTTTTCATTATTTGATAAATATCGGCGTTCAAATAGCGCTTTGGAAAAAAATGTTCATATTAATTCATCGATTGTTTATAGCTACCCAACAAGTTGTCTTACTTTTTAAGACGATTAGTATCACCTATTATCGTTACATCCTGTTTGGAAGTCGGGTCAAATCATACGATCATAATAATTATTAAATAAAAATTAATAAACAATTAATTATAATAAATGGGGTTACGCGTTAATTGTTTTTGGTGAACTCGAAAACGCATCGAAAAATCTTTAACATTCATCACCGTAAGTTATAGCCAGAACAGACAAAATCCTATTCCGTTTCGGAACACACCGTGTGTATATGATACGTAAATTCCGTTACATACACAGTCCTCGACATATTTTACTGATCCACAATGTCAGAAGAATATAATTTCGTGTGAACAATATTCTCGCCATACGTGGGTTACAATATAATACATTTATTAGTAAACAAAAATATAAAAAAAATACGTTCGCCTAACAATCTTATGTTATTACTGCAAGTCAGGTTATTCGGTCACGGTAGCGTGGAGTCGGACAATGAAGGAAAACGAGGGAAAACCACCCGGCCGCACGTAAAAATTCGGATGTCCTTGACAATGGTGACTAATAAAGATAGAAACGAGGGATGCGAAGTAGGAGGAAATATCAGCATGACGCTGGCCCGTATGCGTATGGCTCGTACGTTGACTTTCACCAGATGCGAAAAAAAATGCGTCTATGACGAACGCGGAGGTTGAGATTTTTTTTTTCTCCGCCTTCTTCGTTCTGTCGACGCTGAGTAATCCGGTATCGGTTTTCACTTCCTATTACAAACGCATTCGTCGCTGTCGTCGATGATCTGACGACTTTTTGATTCGAAACAACCAGCTACGTCGTAAACATGTATCAGGTTTCGATTGGTACCGACCGAAAGATGATACCGCCATTTACGGATTTCGAACGCCTCGAATGCCGCCGAGTTGATTTTTTTTTTTTTTTTTATTACATATTTTTAGGGGTGCGATGGTGAACGAGCAGACTGCGGACAAGGGTTGAGGGTTTGTCGTTACCTACCACTATTATCATTATTATTATTATTATTATTATTGCGTACTACGGTGTTTTTTCCCATCTCGAAAATGTGGTTCTCGCAGTACGCACAACGTTGTGTACGTGTGCAGGTACCGTGCACACGTATCGTGTGTCTGGAATGCGGTGTGGGCTCCAAGGTCGACTACAAACCTTTTGGCCCCGTGCGCGCATGCACAGACACCGAGACCTCGTTTCGTGCGGACAAACTTGACGCGGTGCCGCTACCCGACGCAGGTACAGCGACAGAACGGAGCAGCCCACTTGCGCCCATCACACCCTTTTCGTAGCCCGTTCGCGCCCGAAACATCACTAACGAAAACCGTGCAACGTTGCCGAATTCTATCGTTTCACAATCGGGCACTCGTGCCGTACATTGTTTACCGATCGAACTAATTTTAGTTTTTTCGTTACGTCCTCATCGATACTATATACCGGTCCGTTTCATCTTAACTGCGGTTCACGACGATTCTCACTTCTTTCCGTGAACCTTGCAGTGAAACTATGCAGTAGCTACTATTTATTTTGCAGCGTTACGCTTATAGGTTGAAACAACGGAAACTACTGAAAACCACGAGTGTTTCATCAATTATCGTAACTTTAAATCCCGCTTTAGTAGATACTTGGTTTCGAGGGGTATAAGTCGAGACAACCATGATACTAAACGACAACGTTGTACACGAAAGGGCTATAAATCGACAGGCAGTACCTTATCTTTCGGACGCAAATGGGCTGTACCCCAACAGAAGCAGCAGCACCAGCAGCAGTAGCAGCAGCAACAGCGGTGGCTTGCGCGCGCGAACAGAAGAAAAAAAATAATTGTATATCAGTACGCCCAAACGTCGGCGGTGGGTGCGCGCGCGTAGAAATACCTGTCTGTGCGAATTATACCGTGGTCGTCGGGCCACGGACATCGAAACGTTATCCTGCGAAATATCCCATTCCTAGCCTGTATCGTACGTACGCTACTGACCACTATGCGGCGATGTTACCGCGTCACCTTACTCAGCGGAGCGAAGCAGGATTTGAGAAAACGATTTAACAATATTGCGACATCGTTTTACAACGTAAAAACGTTTTGCCCAGTATGTAGGTAGCGGTTAAGAATGAAAACAGATCTTCTCGTTCAAATTCAACTTCTCTGATAACATGTATATTCTTAAACATTAATAATAAAAA